GAAAACTTGGACAAATGAAGCTCAGCGTAAGTTCAACCAGGAAGACCGTCTATTCACTATTCCTACGTAACTACTCTCTCTCCTCTCAACAAGTGATCGGGGGCGTCACTCTCCAGCTTAACCAATCACTTCGCTCTATTCCCAAGAGCCTATCATAGCGCTCTGCCAAACCTTTTAAATCTGCTCTCCCCCCTCTGACAGCTGTCATTTCAGGTGACTCTACGCAACCGTCCTCTACCCCTTTTCACCTCCTGTCCCTCTGAATCCTGGGTCAAGCTAAACCACTCCTCTTCAGACCGAACCCAACCATCTCTTCACCACCACCAGTGTCTAGACCCCAGGGGGGTTTCATCGGATCGGTTCTACCCTCCCGAATGATACTTCCTGCACAACGGGGCCTAATCGCCAAAATCACCATTACATTAATTTGTGTATCTTTCCAATAAATATGTATTCTTACATCAAAACCGTCTCTCCTGATTGAATTGTTTTTGTCCTGACAGTCCAAAAACCAAATCAGTGTTCAATGATGTACAACAGATAAAAGCAGCAACAACTTACCTAAAACTATCAAATAGTTTGCTTTTGCAGAATTATTTTATATTGGTCAGCCAATTCCTTAATGAACAATTGCGGCTGGTTTACAAAGCTGTGATCCAACGAAAACAATCCATCGATTTTTTTTTTTCAAAGGACAATTCCGGCCTATCCAGAAAGCTATTGGTTTCAATTTATTTCATCACTTGATGCAAGATTCAATTTGCTGGATATAATTCATGCTTAACAGTTAATCCTGTTAATGAACTAGTAAACACTTTTCAAAACTATTTTAAAGTAAAGTTACTTTTTCAGGTGGGGTATGGGCATTGATCATGGCATTGATACATGATACACCATGGCATTCTAGATATGTGTTTTCTTACAAATGTAGCCAAGATTTTGATCAGCAGACAAATATGGGCATCCAGAAAAGATAATTGGGGTTAGAATTGAACTTCTACTGAAACGTTTCCTGTGTATTTTTTGGACCTATAGGAATTTAGAAGTTTGTACATTTGTTTTTTTTAATAATGTACAAACAATCGAAATTGAAAACAGTGGAGGCCCAATGATTGAGCCCTGTTGAACACCACATGACAAAGGACAAGGGATAACTGATATACAGCATGATTGTCACATGTATAAACACATCTATTGTGTCATATAAGAATACAAATATCACTGAACACAACATTTACAAAATAGATATAGTATATGTATCTCGTTCATTGCATAGGCTACAGTACATCATAATTACTTTTCATACAATTTGACATAGTGGTTAGACAATTCCCCACAGTGAAATGTAACTGTCTCAGAAAAATAAACACCATACATGGAAATAGTTTGCTAATCCTCACTCCCCTTGGGACAAAATCCTGTCACAACATGACTCAACATTTATCTCTTCAAAGCGTTTAAAATATACAGGCGCCATCCTCTCACGCTATGACTGTCTCTTCTTCACAAGTTTTGTTTCCTGGAGCATTCACCACATCAATTCATAACTTCCATCAACCACTTTAATTTGACTTGTCAACTTCAGCATGATGGCCCTTGTACTACACAGTATTTATGTTAAGTTAAAGTAAAGTAAGTCAAATGCAAACATTCAAGACACACAGTGAGGATGTAATAAAAAAACGCTGTGTCGCACAATGAGATGATAAATGATGCAGTTCTGGGAAGATAAAGCAGCAATGACAGGCAACATAGTTGGGGAATCAGAACATGTATGGCTTTTTGTTTCTGAACAGTTTTGCAATCATTTGTCCACAAAGATATATGAAACACACACACACAAACACACACACACACACACACACACACACACACACACACACATACACACACACACACACACACACACACACACACACACACACACACATACACACACATACACACACACACACACATACACACACACACACACACACACACACACACACACACACACACACACACACACACCACACACACACACACACACACACACACACACACATACAGCGTCTCCTGCTCAGTCAGCACCCTTAGCTTTGATCCTATTAGATTGTGTCGGGTATTACTGACTTCAGCAGATTTGTTCATTTGTTTGAGTTATATTCAGATTAAACTTTCAGCAACTGATATTTTTTGGGGGGGATAATCCACTTGTAACGCTGACTTAAAGGTGGGGTATGTAAGTTTGAGAAACCGGCTCGAGATACACTTTTTGTTATATTTGCTCTTAACATCCCGATAGCAATGAATATCTTAAGTGCTTTGATAAAAAATCCATAAAAAAATGTCATCTGTGGAAGCCGTAGTACTGTAAAAAGCACGACCAATCATTTTAGCCGGCCCGGCTAAAATAACTGGATGGCCTACCTGCCTGTCAGCCTTCCATCTGTGCACAAACTTATCTCGTGCCCTCATTGGTCATGTGCGCGTTCGTGTGTGTTGGAGGAGGGGCTCTGTAAGGAAGTGGCAGATTTTTTCCGGCTGTGTATTTTCAAATTCTAGCGATCTCGAGCCAATTTCTCCAAAATTGCCTACCCCACCTTTAATAGTGCATCTTCACTTATTTCTGTGCAACTTAATAATGAAGTACTACTATTACCAACAACAATGTTGTTAACGCATGCAGAGTGGAGGCTTTGTCTTTTTTTAGTTTTTTAGTTCTACTTTTCACCAAACATTACAAAATGTTTTTAAAACCATCACAAAACCTGCTTTGAATTAGTTTCTAATATGGATTTGGTAAACAGGCTAGCTGTCTACAGCCATATTAGACACTTTGTTGGGCTGTGTTAATACGTTAATACCCTGCTGGGCTTTGAAAGAAATACTATTATCAGCCTTTCTACATGCTCAAATGTAATTGTTTACCATTTTAGTTTAAAGATTTTATCAGCGTGCCGACGATCGTGAATTATCAACGGGGGGGGGGGGGGAGAGGGTGTTGAAGAGCTCGACGAAAACACTCGTGAAAAGTGATGTTTAAAACTCAGTTAATGGGGCTCATTCACTGGCGCTTCCACAAACAACAACCAACATAATTGTTACATTCAAATGAAGTAGCCTATATTATTCAAGTTTACATTAACTTTGGATAATAACACGGGGGAAATGAGCGGAAGCGCTCTCTTTTCCTCTCTCCCCCTCTCTCTCTCTCCTGACAGCCTGTCAGTATCTCATGCAGCTCACTGATCCAGTAATGAGTGACAGTGAAGAATAAATATATTTATAACTAGTTCCAAAGGTAGATCAAATAGCTAAGTGTGTTAGGTCTAACTCTTGTGTGTTCTGCTCCGCTCACCGGTCCGTCACAGCGGGTGGAGCTGCAGGATTTCTGCTTCACACACACGTTGCATACCGCTATTTTATTGTCTTTTTCGGACACCTTAAAATACTGCCAGACTGGTGAAGCGATTTTGGCGAGCTTGTTTTGCCGCACACAGAGAAAAGTGTCATGTATGTTACGTCTCGCGATCGGCCTTTTTGAGTGGGGCTGCGTTGCGCGCATGGCTTCCTTCTGCAGGTAACGGGGAGACGCGCTCTGGCGGCGGTCTCGTTCAGGATCCGAAAATAAAATAAATATTTTGTACACTTATTCCACTTATTCCTAGTGTGCCACTGGTTACGGTGCCGCGTGCCATTGGTGGCACGCGTGCCAGGGGTTGCCGACCCCTGGCCTACAGAGACAACAATTATACTGAACAAGCCACCAATTGGGTTTAGACCCACAACGAAGGAAAAACATTACATAAACCCTTTCAGTAGGCTTGGTTGGACCAAAGTTTCTCTTTGGGCAAGAGGAGCCTTGTTCTTTGACCTTTAAATTAAACTGGCATCTTCCCACAACATTTGTCAAAGTTGTAAACTTATTTCCTTTTTTAATGACCCAGTTTTATCTTATTTTTTTATACACTATTGGAGAAAACTTTTTTTAAGTGTACATTTCTTATTGTTTAAACTCATATGATCAATATGATATGAAACTCTTCTCTGAAACTGCAGCACATTTATCTAAATTAGCTAAATCTAGGCATTTGTGTTAGTAATTTAATATTCATTATATTAACTTAATGTATCTTCTAACAGCCCAGTGTTTCAAGGTAACACGCATAGGAACAATCTCCCTGTGCCAAGATAACAACAGTTAAATAACTAATGAGGAGGTTTTTTCTTTTCACAAGTGTAGTTAAAACGTGTTAGCTCAGCAGTTTGGTTGCAAGAATGTCTAGGATATAGGTGTATGTCTTTCATTATCTGATTTGGAACCACAAAGAAAAAACATAAGAAACCTGCACTGTCAAATTACTGTGATATACAACCACATCAGCTAAAACAAACACAAGGATCAGTGGAAAGTGAAACACCACAAAAGCACTTTCCACACACACACACACACACACACACACACACACACACACACACACACACACACACACACACACACACACACACACACACACACACACACACACACACACACACACACACACACACACACACACACACACACCTTCCATCATTGTGAAAAGCAAATAAGTTTATCGTGATGCAATTAAGTGTACACAATATTTTACTTTTGTAGCTGTTTGAGTCTTTGTACCTAAAAGCTACAGGGGTTTTCACATTCAAAGGGTCAAAATATTTCCAACTCAAACCAAGTGGTGTCTCTCAGTCATTATCATTTCATGCTTATGTCAGCTTTCTTTATTTGTTTGGTTTTAGGCAATAAAGAGAGGGGGCATGTGTGTTAAGCATACTTGCACAGCATGTAATTAACTAAAAGTGGGCCTTAACCCTACATGCCTCTTTTTTTCAAAGGGTTAGGAGATTTCTTCAAAGATATAGCTCAGTGTGTTTTAATGGATATGATTGGCTCTCACGGGACGTTCCAGTCTATAAATGGGATCCAAGTTAGCGATGAAGTAGATTACTTTCCTTACCTGAGGAGACACATCTATCATTTCTCTCTGAACCAAGGAAAAAGGTGAGATACACTTTTCATTACAACAATTTGATACGGTGTTAGAAGCATAGTTCCAGTAATCTTACAGGACTTGAAGCCAATTACCTTTACGTTCCTTTTAATTCAGAAATGTTTTTTCTCATTAAGCAAAATAAAATCATTGTTCTATGTAACATGATATGATTTGTATATTTATTTATTTCAGAAACAACCATGATGAAGCTAGTGGTGTTCATGATGTGCCTGCTGGCCACTACCTTGGCTGCTCCTGTAAGTCTTTCCTAAACATAACCTAAATGTGTAATTAAGTCTGACAACGGATCCCTTTTTAAAATGTTAAACACTGCTTTGCTTTAGAGTAAATTGTCATAGTCACTTCCTCTTTTCTCTTCTTTTATTTGCAGGTGGCAGAGAGTGAAAGCAATGAGGAAAAAGTAAGTAGTGTTGCTTTTCTGTGAGGATTATGTGTCTGTCTGCCATGGCATGTCCTACCATGTTTTAGTCATCAAATGTAGAGTAGGATAAGTGTCTGACCGAGAGAGGATAATTGACTTAATAGCAGAGCATGTCTGGAGATGTCTGGTATTTTCTCAGCAGGTAGCAGCACATGCTAATGAGGCCCTGAGGTGGATGGAGATGTACAGGATGTACCAGCAGCAGGTAGTTGGGGTTCAATATAGTATTACAGATAAACAAATAAAAAAGTAATATAAATCCTCATCAATTAAGATAGTTTGACATAAATCATTATCTATAATCATAAATCTTTATTTTTTCAGGGAGTAGTTGGAAACCCCTTCCTGCCTGCTGCTGATGCTCCTGTAAGTGTATATCTTGTAAGACTCTTACATGACTTTAGTTTTAGATTTAAATAAAAACTTAAAAAATAAATGCGACTCTGGCATTGTTACTGATTGCAACCTATTAATGAATTATTCCTTTGTTTAGGCTGATCCAGCTGGGGCAGCAGTGGTAAGCTCATAAAGCATGGCAGCATCTGATCTGAAATACTTCATAGTGCTGTTTGAGTTAATAGTGTTTGTATTTATAGGTGGATGCCGCACCCGCTGAAGTTGCACCTCCTGCTGCTGTTACTGCTGCAGACGCATCGGAGGAGGAGAACGAGGTGAGCAGACATCTTTATACCACAATAAACTGAAATATTGTTTGCTTATTAGAAATGCACTACAAATGTAGACATCTGTGCTGGCATGAATAACACAACATGTCCTCCTGCTGAAGGGGCCAAACAAAACAAGCTCAGAAAAGTAAACAAGGATTAGCCTTGCATGAAAAAAAGAAACTCCCACATAGGATTTACACTGAGGTGAGAAAAAAAGAGGATGGGTGCCACATGTGGAAATGGTCAAAACAGCCAAAGAGAGCATTATCAGAGTAATATAAAAGCAGAGACTGAATTTCAGTTTGGAGCTCTGCCTGAACAAAGACTCACTATTTGCTTTCCCTGAATATTATTTTTTTCACAGCAGATATCTTCAATTTAACATAATTAGATTAACAAGAGTGTAACTAACTACCAGCATGCATAATTCCAAAACTCTCGAACTGAGGCTGAATTGAACGTAAACTGTCAGATATTCCCAGATAATTCAGCAAAAGCGACCAATAGGTGAATCTCTATCATTTGCACCACTGCAGTGTCCGCTTTCTTTGGAGAATCATATTGCTCTCAGTGAACACTTTAACTAGACAACACTAATTTCTGTCTTTATCTTCGGTACAGGATGAAGGTGCTGCACCCAAAGCTGCAGCAGCCGGTGGTGCCCCCTTGAACTCTGATGAAGAAGAGGAGGCCGAGGAGGTGGAGGCAGCCGAGGCTGAGCCAGCTGTTGAAGTGGCACCAGAAGAGCCTGCAGCAGATCCTGAAGCAGCTGTGGAGCCAGCTGTGGTGGACGTCCCTGTAGATGCTGCCACGGTTGATGCTGCTGTTGTCGTTGATGTGCCTCCTGTTGATGTGGTTCCTGTTGATGTGGTTCCCGCTGAAGTTGCCCCTTCAGCCCCAGAGGTGGCTGTGGATGCGCCTGTCCCCGATGTTGCTGATGTCCCCGCTGATGTCCCTGCTGCTGATGTCCCTGCTGCTGATGCTGGTGCTGCTGATGCCCCCCTAGCAGCTGAGACAGATACAACAGGGGTGGCAGCAGATCCTGCTTTAGTGTAGTTATATATATTATAACCAGCCTAAGTGCTCCTCTGTTAGCAGTTAAAGCAATAGCTAGAAGCGGCAATGAGAAGTTAAAGCAGCGCTAAAGGATGACAAGCTGTGGCATATTGGATAGAGAAGAGGAGAGTGTGCTTTTTGTTCAGAATAGGCATTTGTTATCCTCTTCCTTTTGTCTTGAATCAAAATATTTGTTGTAATTCTGTTCTCAGTTTTTTACTTATAAGTCACGAGTGTTTGTATAAGATACAAATACATGTCTTTGATAAACTCTGTGATGTACGTTTATGACTTTTCACAACAGACATTTTGACTGTTCACAGTATAGGAAAATGTGTTAGTAATGACATTAATGTTGGTTTTGTCCTATTTAAAAGTAAGCTACGGCAGTAGTTCAGCATAGACTTCACCAGGAATCTGAAGCTGAAGGAGCTGAATAGAACGCAGCAATCTTGAATGTTATTTTTTACACCTCTGCTGACAGTGACATCTGTTAAAAGTTTGCTATAAAACCAACTATGTTTCAAATAAACATTTCCATAAAAAATACAGTATCTCAATGTGGTCCATTAATTTTTTCTTTCTTTTCACTAAACTGCCCCTCCATTGCCACAAACACACACATCAAGAACATTATGCAATCATAACCTATAGTCGGATAATTATTCATTAAAAAATGTAACTTCCAGAAATGCTTTTTAATGTGTATCATATTTGATACATGAGTTTCTGAGACCTCTACGTCATCTAAATGACTAGTACGTTCCTAAAAGACCTGTTGTATGCAATGTGATACATGTCTTCTGCCCTCTGGTGGATTATCCGGGCACTGCAGGCTGTAGAGCGCTTTTAATGACCAAATCCAAAATGGCTACCGTCATGTAACGGTTCAGACGCTTTTGGAAGCGACATCTTTGCCCACATTGAATAAATTACGGTAAAAATTACTTTTATATTGTTACTGATATTTCACTATGAATATTTACTGTATTGAAGCAACTTATAATCAATTTATATTTTGTAGCTTATTTCATAGAAAAATCGTGGAGAAAATGTATGTATCAAATGGTATACAGTCGGTATTTGAGTACATTTCTCCAGAAAATAATCAGTGTCATTGTAGTACATTTCATGATGCAATCTGCATTATGCTTACCACAATGCCAAAAACTCTGTTTAGATTATTTAATTAAACTAATTAAAGATTAAAATGTAATATATTAAAAGTCAAAATTGAGATATTTACGTGTTTTTTTTGTAACCCGGTCATTCTGTAACCCGGTGAGTCAAATGTTGCAATGACTCACTTGCTAATAATTGCCACAACTTATTGATTTTTTATTAAAACAATTCCTTGGCTATCATAATCTATGTTATATTGACCAAGTCAGAGAGTACAACATCATTTGTGTTTACATGTACTTTTAGATGGCAAAGAAATACTCTGTATTTATATAGCCTGTTGTTTCGGGTTGTGACATGTTCAAAATCTCCCAAATGTAATAATCAATATTTGTTTTTGTTTCAAAAGGAGACGTTGTTTTGTTCAATAAATTGCCATAAACGCCTGACATATCAAATATGATAAAAATAATTACCAAATATGTTTTTGTTGTATTTTGTTAAAAGTTGTAATAAACACCTCAATTTCCAAAAATTCGAATTTTCTGACTATTATTTGATGTGTCAGGCTTCCGAGGGTGTTAATAAAGTAGCTGCGATCCATGATCCACATCAGCCTACAGGGAGTGCCACTGAACCACAGGATGTCTATAGTCTGCAGCAGGGGAGGAGGATCTGTTGTTATAATGCTTGCTGCAGCACTGAACACTGATAGAGGTTCACATTTAATATCACTCTCATGATTGTTATCAATGTAAAAGGAACCTGATCGACCTGATCTGAAGTCAGTAATACCCGGCACAATCTAATAGGATCAAAGCTAAGGGTGCTGACTGAGCAGGAGACGCTGTATTGTGTGTGTGTGTGTGTGTGTGTGTGTGTGTGTGTGTGTGTGTGTGTGTGTGTGTGTGTGTGTGTGTGTGTGTGTGTGTGTGTGTGTTTGCGTGCGCAAGCAGATTAAATCCTTTCCACAAATGGTCAGGAAAATTATAGCCTGTCTCAGATTGTCTTTTAAAGGAGTCTTTAGATAAAATGGTTATCAGTGTTTATTACCAACAGGTTAACTGAGGGTTGTCCACACATTTAATCTCATCTCCCACTGGGGGGAAGTGTAAGGAAGAGTGACTTCGCCTCTCTCTTCTCAGCCTACTCTAATCCACAAATCCTTATCAGGGACACTGAGACTCTATGACACAGTTAGTTAAACTTAGTGCTTATAGGTGTCACTGGTCCAGCTACATATTGATACTATTTTAATCAGCATCTGATGATAAATAAAATAAAAGCGCTGCTGCTGTAAGTGGCCAGTTTCCAGGTCTTTCAAAAACTGCAAAAGGATATAAAGGAAATGGATGTTTCATTACATTAACAAAAAGGTAAGTTGATTAAAATGATAGAGAAATGAGGTGACATCTTAAAGTTTTTAGGCAGACTGTGGTTTGGGACTGCAAATGCAAACAGGGACATTCACTTAACCTTTAATGTAGTGTGGTTCTGTTAACACTGCTCACATTTAGCAGTATTTCATACCAAGGGATTACAACACACTGCATAAAATGTTGATTTGATTTGATTATTTTCTGTATTACCATTGAAAGACTGAAGAGTGCTTTTTAGTAGTTTTATTGAATTCTTATTTCTGCTGCAACTGAAAACACATTGTTACTGCTAGTGTCACATTTTCAAACTTCTAAATCTAACAGTGAATCAAATATGGACATTTCTTCTGCAGATTGTTTCCATATCATTGGGTCTATAAATCAAGGTGACTTCCTCAAATGTCTTGTTTTGCCCAATGTTGTCACTTTCATATATAGGTGAATAACAAAACCACCAAATATTTACATTTCAGATGTTGGTAGCATGGATCTTTTTTAATTAACAATCCTTGCTTTAAAACTTTGATTAACATCATCTAAATGTTTTCTGAATATTTTTCAGTTAATAGAACATTCTAATAATAGACTAATAGTTCCAACTGTTCATAATTTTAAGGTATTTTATGCTTATCATTACGCTGGGATGGACCAATAAGATGTATTTGTTCCACTGTAAACTGCAGATCTGCTGCCATGACCTCTTCCACCAGCCTTCCCCATATCACTGTGCCCACACTCGCTGCAATACAACTCTCCACAGACAGTGAAGGGTCCAGCGATGATGACCTGTAAGCAGAGGACTTGAAATCTTCAAACAAAGAGCTTACAATACATAAATGAGAAAGAAAGACAGTTTAATTAACTTTATGCGTGACATGCTGTGTTTCTTCCAGGAGTTCAGCTGAATCTTATCTGCTCAATATGAATAACAGCAATAACAATGAAGAGTAAGTATGATTATAGTGTCATGAACAGATAAAGTGGAGCCCTTGTAAAATACAGTTTCTCTTTGATGTATCTAAAAATTAATTTCAGGCCTATTAAATGTGTTAATTAATCCTTTTCCAGGGAGAATTGAAAAAAGGAAAGGAAGAAAAAAAGAGTAATTTGGTTATGTTGCAAAGTCTTTTGTTTTAACTGAATATTTGACATTTTTGTCCAATGTAATAATGTGTGTTGCAGTATGGAGAAGAAGGAGAGGGAAGAAAAGGAGGCAAAGGAGAGGGAAGAAAAGGAGGCAAAGGAAAAGGAAGAGAGGGAAAAGGAGAAGGAAAGACAAAAGGAAAAGGACAAAGATAAGTAAGTGCATAATTCAGAGCAACTTCCTTTAAGCACATTTTTCACATAGTTAATTAACACTTCCTATCTTTCTTTTTATAGGCCGAAAGAAATATTTATCCTTAATCCTGCTGGAAATCTGTATTACAACTGGCTGCTCGTAATCACACTACCAGTCATGTACAACTGGACCATGATCATAGCCAGGTGACTTCATTTTGTTTAACCTTCATTGCTCTGCAGTTCAAAGGCTCCAATGATTCCATTCAGCTGCATTAAGTGCTTTTCATATCCTTTTCCATACTGTATGTAGATATCACAAATCAATGAGAGTTCAGCAGGGGCTAACCTTTTGCAGATAATTAATTTTCTTTAAAAAGCTTGTAGCTATTTAATTTAATTTGAATTAACTGCAGTAATGTATGCTAAATCATTTTTTATAAAAGGACCACATCTGGTTGTAAAAAAATGACAGAGGACCACCTTCCCAAAAATAGTAAGTAAGAGTAAAAAATAACATGATAATAAACTTGGCTGTCAATGTGTGTTATGGCACACTCAGCTCCAATGATGAATATACATGATATATCCAACACATCCCTGGAGCTTTGTGTGTATGTGTCTATGGAGCTGCAATGGCTTGAGTGTCTCATTCGATAGTATTTAACAACATTCAAAAAATCTAAATGTAATATTTTTCCCCACCTTATGCTTTAGAACTTGAAAAACCTGGGCGATTTGTCGGGAATTGTGTGATGATATTCAAACGAGACTGGCTGTTGAAATGACGCAATTTGATTTTTTTTTTTTTTTTGCACATTTAATAAGAGAAATATTTGCTTTGTAAGTGACCAAGTCATTTTGCAGTAGCAGAACAAAACCTATTGGTGAAGCTGCTCAACATTGTTCATTTACAAAACACTTCTTCTTCTCCTGCAAACAGGGCTTCCTTTGAGGAGCTGCAGCATGACTACATCATTTACTGGGTTATTCTGGACTACACCTCAGATCTGATCTACCTGGCTGACATGTTCCTCAGGACAAGAACAGGTGAAAAGCTCACACTCAAATTGCCACATGCACATGAAGTTCACTCTCTATTTTACTTAAGTGATGGACAGAAAAATCCACAGTTCTTGTTTAACTCAACAATACTTTTTCAAATAATCATCTGAACACAGTAGTAGGCTTGTGTAAGCGGGAGTGTAAGTTAGACAAATCAATGGGTTGTTTTTTCAGATTTGTGTTATTGTCCTACCACTAATGGCGCGTTTCCACTACACGGCCTCGCTCGGCCTCGCTCGGTATGGCTAGGCCTCGTTAGGACTGGCTCACTTTATGGCGCATTTCTATTACAGTTTAGGAACTGGGGTAATATCTATAGTAACGCAGTGTAGGCGGAGCCGTGACGTCATCTTCAATGAGAACCCCAGAAAAACAACACAGCCGTTAGCTGTTAGCACTCAGAGCTCACAGCTCCTCATATATGTTCAGAAACTAGACAAAAGTTAAACAAGTACAAACCACAGACTGCCTGTGTCATGGCGAATACAGTCGCTGCTTTATTTATGTCTGTATAGGCCGTTGTTGTGAGTGTGGACGGTCGGAGCATATACTGCGTTAGCTTAGCCAATCTCCATTTAGAAAACACGCATTTTAAAAGGTTTTTCGCCTGCCGTCTGTCTGCAGACTTGACAAAGCATTAATTCATGGTTTTTACTAACCGGTATCAGTATGTTGTTACTTCGGCATCATTTTGAAACGTGTATTACAATTAAATCACGGTCAAATATGTCCATCTTGTTGTAGTTGTAGCCCCCTTGCCAGCGATGCTCTCTCTAGTTTAGCATACTCAGCCCGACTCAGCCCGACTCAGCCCGACTCAGCCTCGTTGTCTCTGGCCCTAGACCCACGATTTTATGAGGCCAGAAAAACTGTGAATTAGGACCCCGCCGGCCGGTACTAGGCCAAGTGGAAACGCAACCAAAGACGGGCCGCTGACGTCACAGCCCTCTTAAACCGTGCTCCGCGCTGTAGTGGAAACGCGCCATAAGGCTATACAAGGAAACATTTTTAGAATATGTATTTCGCAAAATAAAAGACTGTCTTTAACTTGACTTATTATGTGATCTAAATTATAAACAAATAAAAAAGCACAAGACTATAAGGATTGACATCCCTTTACTATGAAAGGCCTTTATAATAATTACTGCTGCCACACATTTTTTTCTAAAAGTTGGATGATAATGTGAATATGAATGGCAATCATTGATGTGTAATCAAAAAAGTATTAACTATTCATCTCTTTGAATGCAGGTTACCTTGAGCAAGGACTTATGGTAAAAGATAAGAAGCTGCTGCTTGATCGCTATACCACCAGCTTCCAGTTTCGTCTTGACTTCCTCTCCATGTTGCCCACTGACTTCCTCTATTTGTACTTCGGCCTTGACTACCCAGAGATCCGCATCAACAAGCTGCTGCGAATCAGCCGTATGTTGGAGTTCTTCACAAGGGCAGAAACAAAAACCAACTACCCCAACATCTTCCGCATTGGAAACTTGATCATTTACATCCTCATTATCATCCACTGGAACGCTTGCTTCTTCTTCTCTTTCTCAAAATACATTGGTTTTGGTGCCGACGACTGGGTCTACCCGGCTTTGGATGATCCTGAAAATCCTGCATTTGGGGAGTTTGGAAGGAAGTATTCATTCAGTCTCTACTGGTCCACACTGACTCTGACAACCATTGGAGAAACTCCACCACCAGCCCTGGACTCTGAATTTTTATTCCATGTGATTGACTTTTTAGTAGGGGTCTTGATCTTTGCCACCATTGTAGGAAATATCGCCACCATGATCTCCAATATGAATGATGCCCAAGCTCAGTTTCAGTCACGGATTGACAACATCAAGCACTACATGCAGGTAGATGGACCTTTTTAGTATTAGATCATTTATTATTTTAATTTTAAATATATGTTTAATATTTGTGTGTTTCTTTCATTCACAGGCCCGAAAGGTCGACACTGAACTTGAGTTGCGAGTCATCAAGTGGTTTGACTATCTTTGGAACAACGGTAAGGCACAGGATGAAAGAGAGGTGCTGAGGTATCTTCCAGACAAACTGAAGGCTGAGATTGCCATCCAAGTCCACATGGATACCCTCAAGAAAGTTCGTATTTTTGCAGACTGTGAGGCAGGCCTGCTGATCGAGCTGGTACTCAAGCTCCAGCCTCAGGTGTTCAGTCCCGGAGACTATATCTGCAAAAAGGGTGATATTGGTCGCGAGATGTACATAATCAAAGAAGGGAAACTTGCAGTTGTAGCTGATGATGGTGTCAAACAGTTTGTTGTGTTGGGAAGTGGAAGCTACTTTGGTGAGATAAGTATTCTCAATATTAAAGGCAGCAAAGCAGGCAACAGGCGAACAGCCAACATTCGCAGCATTGGATACTCAGACCTCTTCTGCCTGTCAAAGGATGACCTGATGGAGTCACTGCTAGAGTATCCCGATGCCAAAGGCATGCTAGAGGACAAAGGGCGAGAGATCCTGATGAAAGATGGTCTGATAGATTTGGACCCAGCTAACATCATGCCTGAGGCCAAGGAGCTGGAGGAGAAGGTCAATAAATTGTACAACACAATGGAGCTGATGCAATTCAAGCTGAAGAAGATTCTCGGAAAAAACAATAGTACTGATAAGGCTTTGAGAGATCGCATTGCAGATCTAGAGCGCCTCACAGGAGAGGAAATGGAAGAGGAGGATGAGGAGGAAGTATTGGTGAAAAAGGAAGAGGGACAAGGGCAAGGGGAGAAAAAGGAAGAATAGGAAAAAGGTGAGAAGATAAAGAAATACAAACAAGAAGGTCAAGGAGAAAAAAAGGAGAAGGGAAAAGATGAAAAAGAAAAGGTTGAAGAGACAAAAGAAGAGAAGAAAATATAAACCCATAATTTCTGTAAAACACTAAGCACTTTTCTCATTGGCAACAATGGCATATTTATCACCAATAAATATTTTTTACAGGACTCGCTTCATAAATGAATCACAGGTAATTAAACACTGCAAAAACGAAAAACAATAAGCTATTGACTGGCTGAAATACAGACTGGAGCTTGTCTTATTAAAGGTATTGCCATTGTATATTATCACATTGAGGATAGTAATTCAATGGACAAACATTGCCATGACAGTATAGATATTCAATTTATTAAAAATGTTGGTAAAGTTGTCCTATTAAGCGTATTTTTCATGACTGAGTCATACTGGAAGGGCATATTATTCCCAGCGTTGCAGTTTACACTCTTGTCCACATGAGGATATTAAATAGCTAGGATTTACAGGTCATCTCATGTTACACCCTGCCTCTGTGTGTGAAGCACAACAGGTTAGAAAGTGCCTCTGTGCAGTGCTACAACAACAGCAGTTCAAAGTGTTTTCCAAATAGGTAAAAAGGTAAGACATGATGACACATATTTAAATATTTAAATTCAGAGGAAATAGATAGGAGTGAATTTAAAAACCAAAGGACGGACAAAAGTTACATTGTTGGCAGAGGTGAACAGCCATGTGAAGTTTAAATTTGACCAGTGTCAGATTTTGAAAATGCGTAATGTCTCTAAAAGGATTGTTTCATGGTAAGTTCCCCTTGTCTCTCTGCAGTGAAAATGATTGCATACAGATGTAGCAGCTTATGTCAGACTCCAGTTTACAGCTTCCTGCCTGCTACCTGCCAGCTACCTGCCTAAGACCTGCCAAAGACCAGTATCTGGGAATGTTAAGCCCTCCCACTATTTTCCAAGAGGGCGTTGCCAGATTTTCAATTTCAGGATTTAACCAGGAGATGGCGCTTAATTCACAAATACAGAAAGACAACTTTTCATCTAATCTTGTAATTCAATAATATATAGTCTTTATATATTAAATAATCATAATAATAATGTAAATGTTTACATTACACTTCTTTATTTGTCATGCGGTCTAATGTCATTATCTCTTCGATTTACACATGGCATCTATTGCACTTCTGTCCATCCTGGGAGAGGGATCCCTCCTCTGTTGCTCTCCCCGAGGTTTCTCCCATTTTTCCCTTTGAAATGTGGGTTTTTCTCTGGAAGTTTTTCCTTGTACGATGTGAGGGTCTAAGGACAGAGGGTGCTCATACTCATACTGATATTCTGAACAAACTGTGCTCTTGTATTTGCTGTAAAGTGTCTTTACTGTAGGGTATTTTTATTATATGTACAGCACTTTGGCAACAGAAGATGTTTTTCTTTAAATTGAAGTTAAATGCATCAATCTGGTGCACTTTGAGGGCAAAATTAAGAGATGTATGGATACAGCTCTCAACACTCATATGAAACAGAACTGTTATAATAATGATGAGAAACTATGAAATAAGAAATGAATCAAATTAAAATGTAATTATCATATCATATATTATATAGTGTATTGTATTATTAAGTAATATCATACATTAACCCCATTATAGCAGATGCCACATTGAATGGATGAACACATGTATGCATCAATAATTACAACAGAGTATTTCTAAATACAAGCTGTAAAAATACTTATATGTATTTAATACTAATAACATAATGATTAATTTCAGATGATAATACTTTTCAGTGTCTGTCTCATGCAGCAGCTGATCCAGTAATGAGTGACCCGGCCGACAGTAAAAATAAACATTTATAACTAGTTTCGGTTGTTTGAGAGGTAATTAAAATAGCTACAGTAAGGGTGATGATCTGACTTGAAGTGTGTGTTTTGCTCCTCCCGCTGCATCACAGCTGTGTATATCACCCCAAATAAAAGAACCCAATAAAAACAGTTGTTAAATAATAGTGAAGTCACGTTGTAATAACAATAACTCATCTCTCGGTTTGAGTGTTCTTTTTCTGCTTTGCCAAAAGCCACTGTGTCAAGTGTCTAGTGACTATTTCTCTTAGCGGATGCATGTCAATTTAAATCAATACATACAACTATTTTTTAAATCAATAAAAACATTTTCTAAATCCATAAAAGCATTTCAATTAATATTGGGAGTCATGTCATTACTTTGTTGAGAATGTGGCCATGTAATAAGCGGGATAATTTGCAGCGACTTGGTCATTGTGGGGAAAAATAACACCCAGGGATCAAGATCTGCCTGACAAGGCTCCATTAAAATATAAATATTTTTAGTGAATTACTGAGTTTAGGCACGTTAATAACGTTTTAATGAAGTTGAATACAGAATATTCATATTTGTCAGTGATTTCATGTCAATTCGGCGAACATAAACATAAATGATCGTGGTGAAGATGATGATTAAATTAGGATTAAAAATCGAGAGCCGGCTGCATTTCCTCTCGTTCGTTTTTTTCGACTAAACAACATTATTTTGTTAAATAACAACATGGTGATGTTTTGTAAATGATTACATGTCTTATTTAGCACAGACTATGATCCTATCCGTGACATATGGATCTTAACAAAGATCCGCTATACAGTAGTACCAGACATACTGTACATCCAGTTTACTGTATCGAAGTTGATTTCACATGAGCTCCAGTGTGGAACCCCACTGCACCCCCTGGTGGATCAATGATCCATTGCAGCTGGCTTCACAATAATTACATTTATTTATCACGGGGGGCGGTCTCAAGTCAGACTGGGGGCAGGCTCTTCATCACGGGCCTTTCACGGGCCGTTCACGACCCTCGCGTTTCAAACTGTCCTAAATTAGCTGCTACATCTGTATGAAAGAAAAGAGACTGCTTCTTTGCTTAAATTGCTTTCTTAGTGATGTTGTTTTTCTGAAGTGATCCAAAACTTGAACATTACATTTTCACTCATTCAAAAAACAATTACATGGTAGTCTTTTCTCTGGTTGTGAGCTACAGTGTGAAATTATGTACTCGGAAATCTGAAAGTTATATCTCTCACAGGCTCCGCCCTCTACTGGACTCTATGGGTACTCCCCTCGATCCTATCATGCAAGCATTCATTCACTGAGACTTTCTAGACGTAGCCGGCCCCTGGGCGGGCCTACCTGAATGCGCGCGCATCTCACCGCATAAGAGGAGGCCTTGCCTCCTCACTGCCATCCCTTTCTCTTCAGCAAGGCAGTGAGTAACTGAGTGAAGAGAGACGGACAAATACACTTTTTGTAAAGCATACGAAGAAAAATGGACTCACCTGTGGTAATGGCTATGGCGGCGGAGCGTGCAGGCTTGCCGCTCCCCTCACCGTTGCCACAGAGGCCGGTGAGCCGCCTGCGGCAGGACTTTTACGGCCCGGCCCGTCCAGCACAGCCGGCTCCGCCGCAGCGAAGGGGTACCGGGTGGGGAGCTCCGTCCTCCAGGAGTGGACTGGCGGCGGGAGGAAGCGTCCCGGCGGAGAGAGGTGATTTCTCCGGCCAGGATGCAAGGGCGAATCCCGCCTCCTCCCTGTTTGACCCATTGGTTGCAAAGTCTTCTTTTCAAAATAAAAAAGATAACTTGTATTCCAGTCTGAGTGTCTTTTCTTTCCACACACCCACACAGCCACGTAATGTTGACCGTACAGTTTCCCCACTCGCTGCCCAGGTTGTAACTCCAGTAAAGGAGGCAGCTAGTGCGCATGCGCGGGTGAGAGTGATAAACCGCGCTATGCGGGTACAGGGACATTATGGCCGGCGTAGCAGGGTTAGGAAACATTTAACGCAGAGTGTAAAAGCTCCGCTTGATGCATTTGACTGTTTGGGTGAAAGCATCATGGCGGAGCGCGCACTCCCACGAGAGCGCACCGCGGCGCGTTCAAGGACCTCAGTAGAGAGTCGGTCCTTTCTGTGTCAACCCCCCATGGGCAGAGCTTACCTTCGCGGGGGTTTTTGCGGCGGAACAGGTCACCAGAGAGTACCACAGCTTTATCGCTGGGGCCCCACAGCTGATTGCACATCCCCTAACACAGTGTTATGGGGAATGGAGGCGCAGCTGCGTGTTAACGGAGTGGATGAACAGGACGCTGAGACTGAGTTATTCACTCCAGGTTTGCAGCATCCCTCCTCCGTTCACAGGCATAAGAGATGGGGTTTTCTCTCAGCAGAGGTTCAGGCCTTGGTGCAAAAACAGGCAGTGTCTGCTGTGCGCACGCAAGACAGAGAGGCATTATTCCCTGTACTTCCTGGTTCCTAAAAAGACAGGCGAATTCAGGCCCGTTATGGATCTTCGCAGTCTGAATCTCCACATTGCACGCAGAAAATTCCGGATGTTAACTATAAAACAGTTACTGGGACTGGTGCAGCCAGGCAATTAGTTTACAACTATCGACCTGAGGGACGCTTACTTTCATGTCGAGATTGCTCCGAAACACAGAAAGTATTTGCGTTTTTGCCTGAGGAGCGCTATAGGTGGGCGCTGGTCTCTAACAGAGACACGGCACAGCAACCTCCTAGAGCTACGGGCAGTAGTGTTGGTCCTCCAGCATTTCAAACCCTTAATTCAGGGGAGACATTTAATGGTCAGGAGCGACAACAGCACCACAGTGGCATATATCAACAGGCAGGGCGGAGTCTGCTCCGCCGCTTTGTTGACCACAGCGGAGAAATTGTGGTTATGGGCTTCAGAGGTGGTGTTATCTCTGAGAGCCCCCCACATTCCGGGTCTGGAGAACAGGGGCCGACCTCATGTCGAGGGGCGGACCCCTGCCAGGCGAGTGGGCGCTTCACCCGGAGGTGGTGAAGCGGAGCTGGGCCCGGTTCGGGACAGCAGTGGTGGATCTGTTCGCCAGCCGGCGCAACAGCCACTGCGCCCTGTGGTTCTCCATGGCTTTGAGCGACGACCCGCCCTTGGGGGGGGGACGCG